ACTAATTGCTAATCCTACATACGCATATACACTTTAGTTTAATTTAGTTTAAGTCCAATAATAATATTAACGACATAAATATATACATATCCAATTATACTATTTAATACATACATATATTCAACATAATAAGATTTATGTACTTACTTATAATTTGAGCATACCCACTATATCTAAAATATTTACTAGTTATTTATTGCCTTTTAAAATAATTCAAACCCACAGTTCTCTTTATAGATGCAGTGCTAGACGCAAATAAATCAAAGTCATTATCGGTGCTATACTTGTTAAAGGTTTTACAGCTACGTACCATGAATGTATTTTGCCTGTAATTTGTGCGGACATTTGGTAAGTGAAGCAGAGGGCGCTGCTGCAAAGCCAGTGCGTTAGCACGAAGACCAATCATGGACAGCAATTCCGGACAGCCAATTTTACCATTTGCCAGTTTAGATAAGAGACAGATGTCATTTATTTCCCGACGCATTAACAGTGGCAAGAAGTGGTATCGCTTACATCGATGCTCATAACTCAGCGACTTTTGTTTGGCCCTAAAGTCAAGAAAACGTAGAAATCGTTTCTGTATCGACTCTATCCTATCAATATAAATACCATATTGCGGATTCCACACTTGAGACGCGTACTCGAGATGACTTCGCACGAAGGTGCAATATAGTACTTTAATTGCCTTCAAAGATTTTAAATCACTGGACATTCGCATCACGAACCCGAGGGCCCTAGAGGCCTTACTAGCAATATGATTGACATGATCCTCGAAAATTAGCTAGCTATCATGTATGACACCCAAATCTCTTATTTTATTAACTCTGGTCAAACTGTGACCCTGGAGGAAATAATTGGATCCTATTACGTTGGTCTTACGTGTGAATGTCATACAGAAACACTTTAGAACATTAAGATCTAACTTATTTAAGACACAGTATTGTTCAAACCGCAGAAGATCTAGCTGCAGATCATCGACATCCTCAGAACAGCCAATTATTTTAAGAATCTTCATGTCGTCTGCGAAAAGAATGGATTTTGAATTTAAGAAACATATAGCTGTGAAAGGCGTCTGCTAGTGCTGCCGGTGAGTCCTGTTGGTTTGAATGTGGCAGGAAAGTAGTACTAGCCTCCGCAGCCATTCAAATTACAGTTATACTAAATTAATTACAGCAAATTCAAAAGGGTAAAGAACTAGTGGTAATAAATCCAGTTTTATAAATATTATTCCCGTTTTATTAAAATTTATGATCTTTAAAATGTTTATTGTACAAGAGAATTTTGGTAACTGGTAAAGGGTTTAAAAAAATTAACGAGAAGACGTGTTCGCTACCGCGATCGAGCAGGTAGTGACAGTCGAACGAAACAAAATCAGAATGGGAGGCAAACGAACTATGGAACAATTCAAAATTTAAATTTGAATACTAGTTGATGACGATGTAAGGAGATCAAACCGTCACAGCTACTTGAACGTGAGCATTACTGCTTTCTGGCTTTAAAGAGTAAGGATGCTGGTGAAACATCACGTACATGGGACTTGTCAACTTTGTCAGTACCTCTCAGGTTTTTCCGATGTAAAGCTACCATCAGGCCTACGATTTGTTCGTCCCATCACATGATAACCACAAAAAATGGTTAAAGAAACTTGAGACAAGATAGTAGTGGATGCCAGAAACTAAAGGAACCAGAACCAACCAATCACACACAGTGGGTGAAGTGCGCTCCGGATGAAAATGATGAAAACGGCATTTGAAACCTTTGAATTCTGATTTAGAGGTATTTCTATTGATGAATTTGTTGAATATGGCTGCCTAAATACAAAAAATGACACGAATAAAACATCGCATTTCAATGAGTCAGTCTCATTCCCATCTTAATGAATTCGCCACAAGAGGTCCTAATGAGAAATAGGTCAGCCCTGTTATTTGTTCTTGTCCTTTCATTTCCAATCTATTGCGATTGCTCTTCGTTTGCTCGCTTTGTTCACAAAGTGCTTACGTTGATTGGTAGCTTGTTCTTTAAATGAAAGTTGTTGTATAATTTAGTGGTTCACAGACGCTAAGATTCTCTAGGTACCACACTTGGAGAAGTACCATCGCTCTACTTTTTCCTATCACAACATCGTAGGGTTGGGAATCTCGGCGGAACCGCATTCAAAAGAGACCATCTTCCCACGCGTCTCACTTGCGGCAACGCATTATTTTATTTTATTTTTTTATTTAATTATTTATTGTACAGGAAAACACAAATTACATTTGGTAAAGCGGAAAACAAAAACAAAAGGTACTGCTTATTTATATAAGAAATTTCTTCCTGCAGACCAAAATACAGGACACAATAATTACAATAAGGGGTTTACGGGCACAACAAAACAGAATTAAATTATGTAATAGAATGATAGTAAAAAAAACAGCAAAAATGTTAAATTACTACAGACTATATAAATACTTAGAGACAAATACGTATTTCATATTATATTATCTATAAAATGGATGGAACTGACGATAAATAGTGCTTCTTGACTCTCATTTTAAAGATAGCTAAGGATTTACTGTCAAGTACAGTAATGGGAAGTGCGTTCCAGAGTCTGACCGCATGAGCAGTAAAGGAGTGAGAATAAAAACCGTAATTGAATTATGGAAAAGATAACTGGGACCTAACGAGAGAGCGACAAGGCTTATCCTGGGACCTAAGAAAGCTGAAACGCTCTTTCATATACCTGGGAGACAAAGGATTATGTAGAATGTTGTAAAGAAGAGAAACGATATGCAAATTCCTGCGGAGACGAATGGGAAGCCACTTCAGCTGATTGCGATAGTGTGAGATTCGAACATATTTACGAATATATTTTTTTGCGATATATGGTGTTATGCTCCCGCAAATGTCTAGAAGGGGTTATAATCCCGATGATTCGTAAGTCTGTTTGTGTAAAACTAGCAAATGTGATGAACTAATGAATAAAGTGAAAAGAACTAACAAATTTAATGATTTCCAATAAAATTGCAGACGTCTAGGGCAAGTTGCTCGGGTTGCTGTTTTTTAGCGTTAACAAAAGGTATCCCCAAATGTTTTGGGTATGTTGTTGAAAAATTAAACACAGGTTATAAAAACTAATCGTTACGACCAAATGAGGGGTGACCGACTCTTTTAAGAGAATACATTGTTTTGAGAACGAAGCAAAAGTGACAAAAAGTTTTTGACAGAAAACTAGATTTAAAATCATACATGTGTTATTATGGGCAACGCTTTTGTGATGAACGAATAAATCCACAAAATTTACAGGCCGACTGGGATACCCAAGGACTAGCAGATACCTTGCCGGACGTATTAGCACAGCCATACAACCTGTCAGTGTTTCGGCATTTTGAAGCTGGAACCCAATAGAATCTACTTAATCTAGCCCTATGTATATCATATTATCTTAGGGCTTTAATTATGAATTGTGATGGACGCGTCGACAGGAATGAATAAGCTGGAGAAATTGAGAAGAAGATGATAGACGCTTTAAAAATGTGGTGCTGTAGAATAATGCTCGTACAAATATCTCCATATCCCAAGAACTCGGAACTTGAAAATCAAAAAGCGTTTGTCTGTTTTGCTACAAACTCGCATTTTAAAATTCTTCGGTTATGTCTCAAGACGGGATATTGACTTAAGCGTCTTGTCAGACAAAGATAAGCAAGCGCTAGATTGAGCGGAAATCACCCAAGCAACGGGCCGGTCAAATAAAATCTGCTGTGAGCGGTCTACACGGAATACACCAGAAAATCTTCCAATGGAGAGATATGGTATCATGAGGCGAGCCATATCAGCCCCTGAGAAACTCCGTAAAAATCACGACCGCTCTGCCAAGAATACTATGAAATTGAAGAAGAATCCATATAGATCCAGTATCTATGCTTCTAATGTATGTTTGTTCTTTGTATTTCATCAAGAGTCTCTTCTAAGAAGAGAGTTTGTTCATAGGATTATAGATTATTATAGATTTATTACAGAAGTTTCTAAGCGCTGTGATTCTTTCTGGATATACTGGTTTCATCGAGATATTTTATTTTACCTTTTTATACCTTACTATTTGGATAAAAATACACTGTACACTAAACAGATGAACCCCTTTCCCAACTGTTCAGGATGTAGCAGTTAGTCTTTTACTGACTCAGTTCTTCAAATTTAGATCTAGTTATTTTTATGTACTAAAACACGCAATGGCCTAAATCTTTCTATACAATGCAATAAATATTCATTTCCTTCCAAAAGGCGATCAAATTGAAAATACGGCCACTATTGCGTATCAAATGTGACTCATTCTACGTAACAGGATTGCACATATGACGTCGTTGTATATAGGTTATTTTCCTCTCTCTCCTTTGATACTCGAAAGAAGATTCCTTTCTTTAATAAATAATGTGTGCCTCAAAATGTACAACATACTCCACCTTAAAGTATTTGAAAAAAGACAGGTTTTATCTAAAATTGCTCTATTTCTTTATGGCCACAAGTTTAAGTGAAAATCGATGTTTGACCCAAAAACAATAAACCTTCGTCTTTTGTTCAATATCACCTAAATGTGATACTTATTTCACAGCACATTTAAGAGCTAACTAAACTTACCTTTGGCTTCCTTCCAGGGATCTTACACAGTCTAGGAGCACCAGAAAAAAGCAATTACGTAAGTGAGCTGTGTTTTTGCCGGACTTTTGCAACCGTAAAGTTCGAAATCACTACACTGCATACAGTTCAATGCATTAACTGTTTTTTATATATTTATGAATTGTCTTTGAAAAGTCCGTGTTGAAAAATACGAAATAAAATGGAGGCGCTTGCTTCCTCGAATGGGGTTAACATATACATTCGGGTGGTTTTGTGCGCATGTGCGAAACACCCTCTTGTTTTTCGATGCGTTCCATTACTACCCTTATTTTAGGGGAAACTTTAGGGTAAAGTATTGCGTGATGATATCACGTAATTAATTTGATTAAACTCACCGAAAAAGTTGCCAGTTTTATTTGGGTATAATAACATAAATATTTATATTTTTCTACGCTTTTATGCTTATAATATTTCATAAGTCCATTACGACTTTTACAATCTTGATCATATTAATAATTAGAGCTTTTCCAAGCCCAAAATGAGCCGTTAAACGTGAATTACAGTAATTTAAACGGAGTTGATTAAAATATCTAATTTATTTACCTTATTTTTGTTAATGCGTCTTTGGCCTATACCAAAAGTGCTTCAGTACGTTCTTAAGATTCAAACTCCTTTACCATGAAGTTCATCCACCCTCAGACTCGATCCTTTAGAGGTGTTCTTATACTTTGGACATACAGTTATGTATAGTG